CGGGGGTTTAGGCATCGGCGGTGCGGTCGGGGGGAGTCAGCGAAGGGTTGTCTCGCCAGGGTGGTCGACATGGGGAGGGCACAGCGTCGTCAGCATGAGGCTGCCGTGGACCATGTGCATGACACATTCAGGGCCTGCTCCCCTGTCTATCGGTACCTGGTTGTCGGCCAGAAGGTCAACAGCAAGGGGGTCATGATGCTCCGTTGCACGTTTTGCAACAAAGTTTTCCAAGGGACCTAATTTCAGGCCACGAGGCACTTCTCGCAGACAAACTACTGCAAGGACATCAGCGACGAGGCATTGTACGAGATTGCTCGACGGACTCAACAGAAGTTCGAGGCCGATCAGATGGAGAGGGTTGCCAGGTATGCAGCGGAGCTCGGACTCGAAATGCCCGGCACGGGTGGTGCAAGGGGAGGAGAGGCGGGGCGGCGTCCGGTGGAGGGAGGGGTCGGGGGAGATGGTGGGCATGGTGCGGCAGACCCCACTTTGGGTGGTGGAGGTGGTGAGACGGAGGAGGGCATGATCCACGTCGATCGCGAGGCGTGTGGCCCGGGCGAGGAGGGAGTCCCGGAATGGGAGGACGTGCCAGAGTTTTATCCAGGCACTGGGGAGAGGTTGAAGGACTGGCAGAGGCGAGTAGGCAAGGGAGCTGCAACGGAGGGGTCTTCCAAGAGGAAGGAAGGAGGAAGTGATCCGGCTGCCACCCCAACAGGGAAGAGGCTTCGCCAGCAGAAGGTGACTGATGTCTACGGTGGCGAGTGGGTTGCTCGCCACAAGAAGGCATTCCTTCGCTGGCTGTATTCCAGCGGGGTCTGCTTCAATGCCTTCTGCAAGCAGGCTTGGAAGGCATATCAACATGTGCTTCTTGAGCAGCTTGGCAGCTCCCCGCGCGCAGTGCTCCCCAACCACTGCGAGATTGCGAGTATGCGGGCGATGGAAACCCACCGTGCGGAGTTAGCGGAGGAGTTGGAGGAGGTCAGGCAGCCATTCTGGATGATTGGTGCCACCCTGCTCTCTGATGGGAGGAAATCACGAGATGGGAGATCGGTCGTGAATTTCCTTGCTGCTGGCTCTCGAGGGGTCGTCGTGTACACGACGATCAATCGAGAGGGCGAGGCGGACGATGCAGTGCACGTCCTTCAGAGATGGGTTACCATCTTCCACGAGTTCAACTTCGGCAGGCCGCAGCGGATCAATGCAATATGCACTGACTCCGCTTCTGCCTATGTGGGGGCTGCGAGGGCATTGGCCTCGCCGTCCATTCCTCCTGCACTGAGGAGGATCACTTGGCTCCCGTGCTCCGTCCATGTCTGCAACAAATTGTTGTCAGACATGGGGACGAGTTGCGACGTGTTTGTGAACGCGATCACACGCGCTCGTGTGCTGGTGGTGTCTTTCGAAACCCACCAGGCCGCCCTTCATTTTTTTAGGACGCGCAGGCCCGACAAGGGGCTTATTGTTTCTTGCGAGACGTGGTTCGCGTCTGTTTGCTCCATGCTAGAGAGGCTGTTGGCCCTGCAGGACACTCTGCAGGACATGATGCGAGGGGACGACGCGCGGGCTTTTGCTTCCATCCCATGGTCCGCCGATGTGTGCGTCATGGCGCGTTGGGTGCGCCGACAGATCAGATGGGATCCATGGTGGCAGAGGGTGGCCACCATCGTCCATATCATGCAGCCCGTCATGGAGTTGCTCAGGCGGATGGATCGTGGAGGACAGTACATGTCGCTCATGATCGAGTGGACGCAGGATCTTGTCTGCCGTGTCACGGACGCATGCGCCCCTTTGGGAAAGTCGTTCGCCGACCGGATCATCAAGCGTGTGCAGGCTCGCACACAGCACATGCTTGAGCCAGCTCACTGCGCAGGGTTCTTACTGAACCCTCGCAGGCGATACGTTCGCTACTTTTCGGGGCAGGTAGAGCGGTACGATGCTTGGCTTGTGGGGCAAGCCAAGAGGTACATTCTGACGCAGACGTGCATGTCGGCAGTTTGAGGACTTCCACATTCAGCAGGGCAGGTTCGGGGATTGGGGCGGGCCGGAGGGGTGTGCTCGTGGGCGCGCGTGCAGCGGCTACACCGATACGATTGAGTGCGCGTCTTGGTGGTCTCAGTTCGGGTCAGACGCGCCAGAGTTGCAGCATTGCGCTCTTCGGGTGATGCACATGTGGTCTTGCGCCTCTCCAGCGGAGAGGAACTGGGCAGTCCACGAGGGCATTCACACGAAGAAGCGCAACCAGTTGGCCTTCGAGAAGGTCGTGCAACTCATTGAGATCACCGCAAATGTACGGTTGACTGAGTATCGGCGGGCTGGATGTGGTTATGTGCTGCCATGGCAGCGGGACGAGGGCATGCTGGATTGCCAGGCAAGACTCGAGTTGGAGCCTGTGCGCTCGGGGACTCGCAGGGGGATGACGGAGGAGGAGATTGCCCATCAGGTTGCACTTATTACCCGGGATCCCATCGGGGCGTTCGCACCACCCTCGGCTGATGCCGTTTTCGATAGACGTGCTTGCGTTTTTCGTCCCTACCCCAGGGAGGACGACTCAGACGAGGAGCCGATACCTGAGGCGGCAGATGACCCTGCGCTCCGCATTCCCTGGGAGATCGACGAGACGAGGATCCCGACTCCGAGGAGACGAGGACACACACTGCACGACAGGCGGCGGACCGGGCGGAGAGGGAGATGTTGGGGGGAGACGAGGACTTTTGGGACCCATTCGGTGAGGTCGCTTCCACGGGCGGCCCAGAGACGCAGGCGACGACCCCCACTCCTGCGAGGCGGGATTCGTCCATGCCGCCACCTCCTGCTCCGAGTCCTACACCACCATCGCCCGTCTCGCCACTTCAGCCGGCCACGGCAACGGCGGACACGGAGGAGTTGGGGTCCTCTTTGCCTCAGCGCGGCCTTCTCAACAGAGGCGGGGCAGTCCGACAGCTTAGGTTACGATCACCTTCACCGGGGATATTGCAGGAGGAGGGGGCACCTTCGGCAGCAGCAATGGAGAGTTCGGTGGCACCAGCGGCGGTGCCGGACGCGACGATCGCACCCGCGGTGGAGGAGGTAGCAGCAGCAGCAGCAGCATCAATGCTGGAGGAGATGGCAGCATCAGTGCTGGAGGAGGATCCACCAGCGGTAGGAGGAGGTGCAGCAGTGGAGGGGCAGGTGGCAGCAGCATGAGGAGCAGGTGGAGGAGCAGCATCAGTGGAGGTTGAGGTAGCAGCAACAGTGGAGGAGGAGGAGGCACCGTCAGCAGCTGCAGTGGAGGAGGAGATAGCCGCACAGGCCGAGGTGTAGCGTGGGGGCGATGACGAGCGCCTCATGCAGCAGTTCATTACGGAGGAGCTCGATCCGGTCATAGCGGGTATGACCCCGGGTGTGGCGAGGGGGTTTGGAATTTCAGTTACGGAGATGGGGACCCACTTAGACTTAGATTTGTCGATGGGCCTTCCACCTAGTTGCGGCGGGGCAACATCGACGGACCGGGCTCCATCGAGGGACGAGGCGCCAGGACAGAATTCGACGCAGACCGCGAGAGAGAGGACGACGACTGTCTCCAGATGCAGCACGCGACATCATGGAGCGAGAGAGGGCTAGACTTTTGGCATTGACTGACCCGCGTGCTCAGGCGTTCGCACGGGCCGTAGAGGAGCCCAAGCGTCGAGAGATAGGGGGGGATTGTGTGCAGGGTGGGGTGGTGGCGGGGGAGGACGTTGCGGAGGGGGTGTCAGCAGGGCCGGTACCCGAGGCTATGCCGGGTGGAGCAGAGGCAGCGGACGTTGCTGTGGAGGGACGGCCTCAGGCGGTGGATGAGGCTGTGCAGGGAGGACAGCGGCGAGACAAGGGGCTATAGACGCACGGCGCGAGGTCCAGGAGATCGCGACGGGTCCAGTCGTTCCGTTCTTGGGCCTGCACTTGGCTCAGGCCCGACAGCCGCAGGCGGTTCAGATGGCAGTGCATGATGTGCCACTGCCCGTTATCACGGATTTGGGGTCCGAGCCGGTGGTTGTGCCCCCACGTCTTCCTAGCCACTTTGCTCCGCAGGAGGTCCGTCGTCCTTTAGATGCAGAGGAGTTGGCAAGAGAGGCTGTGCGCGATGTTACTCGCTTGGACCGGCGGATCTTCGATCGGAGGCTCGAGCATCCACCATGGCAGACGATCCCTTCGGTTCCATGGGGTCCTGCGTCACCCATGTGGTATGGGTCTACCTCCACCGGAGGACATACCGCGGGACATGTTCCAGGGGTTTCGCGTGGCATGACGGAGACAGCGCCACGCACAGGAGACATGCCACCCCCTCCTCCCAGAGCACCTGCAGGTGATCCATCATCGTCGCCCACAGGCAGAGGCTCTCGATCCCCACACACGCCTGGGAGATCTAGGATTCGTAACACGACGGCAGTTCAGCAGGACGTGTGTGACACGACGATATTCGGGAGGACAAATATAGATTTGGATTCCACCCGCCGTGTCACGGAGCACACTGCACGCCTTCAACCAAGCTTGGGAGGAGGAGGCGCCAAGACGACTGCGGCGAGGGAGGTACTGGCATCATGTTGTGAGCCTCAGCGAGATCTTGGCAGAGGAGTGTCCATCGAGACCTTGGAGTACGCTCTGAGAGCAGCGACGCGTGCCATGTAGGAGCAGACTCCACGCAAGTGTGGAGTGCCTCCTCGTCCACGCCCCGTGCCTGCAGAGGGAGGCGCAACACTTGGAGAGAGTTCGGGGGCGGAGGGGTTGGGGATGCCTCGTGGATCCCGCTGTGAGCAGACCATTGCAGAGGCTAGTGCGAGGGTTGTTGTGTTGAGGAAGGGAGGAGTCCCAGTCACCATCGAGGAGGATGATCCTGATACAGATGCGGCTGTGCGGGAGGCGGGCGAGGACTACGAGGGCGAGGAGGGGGGGAGGAGGAGAGCAGGAGTGGTTCCGATGGTGACGACGACGACGACTACGATCAGCCCCCACCTCCCCCAGGACCCCCACCGACGCGTGCATCTAGACGCTCCGCTGCACGGACTTCTTCATCCTCACGCGGGAGGAAGAGGTCGACATCCGGCACTCGAGGGGGCACGAGGAGACATAGCGGGAAGGGGAAGAAGGGTTGTTGATCGATGAGGCCAACACTCTGCTTCTCCCCTACTCGCACTGTACATCGTCATGTTGTGCGGTCATAGTTTTTTTGGTCGTCTTAGTCGTCTCGTCTTGTCTCAGTATCGTCAAACACTCAGTGGTTGTGTGCGTGCTTTACTTGTTGGTGTGTATGATTTTGGTAGCAGTAGGGTGTTCATAGAGTATGATTTTGGTGCCAGTAGGGTGTTTGTAGAGTGTCGTCGGTTGCAGCAGACTGAGTTCAGACTGTACAGTTTTTTTTTTTTTCTTGTATCATTTAGGCAGCTACGACACGACTTGTAGACTATTGTTTCTTGTATTTTTTTCGACATGTGGTGTCAGACACTGCCAGTGCATTAGCAGTAGGATACATTGTATCATGTTGCATTTTGCATGTGTGATATTAGTGTCAGCCTGTCAGGTACTTCACATCGTTCACGACTTTTGATGTACATTACATTTTCTGTTACGAGTGATACACGTTGCCTGCCCATTTTTTTGTCGGTGTGTGATTTTATATCTTTAGTTGTTGTTCTCATTTTCAATTTCATTTCTTGCATTTTTTTCTTTTAATTTATTTATGGCTTCGAGAGTTCGGTACTTGTTTTTTTTTTTCTATCTTATTTATTGATTCTATTTGCATTGAATGGAACACTAACTGATGTTTCGGGAGGTGCACAGGG